TGTGTATTTTTAGTAGAGACAGAGTTTCACTGTGTTAACCAGGATGGTCTTGATCTCCTGATACCATGATCTGCCCGCCTCAGCCTCCCAGAGTGCTGGGATTACAGGCATGAGCCATCATGCCCAGCCCTGAATTATATCTTTATCAAATTGTGGCCTAAGTGAGCATTTGGTATGATTTTGGGATTATTGAACTTGCTGAGGATTATTGTGTTTCTGATTTTGTGGTGAATTTTAGAGTATGTGACACATGGTGATGAGAAAGATATATATACTATGTTGTTTTCAGATGGAGAGTTTCATATATGTTTATTAGAATGATTTGGTCAAGTGCTGAGTTTAGGTTCTGATATCTTTGTTAATTTTCTGCCTCAATTTAGGTGGGAAATTAAATAAAATTAAATTAAATTAAAAAGAAAAACAAGCTTTCCTGTATTAGGCTGACTTATCCCAGAGGCAGTAACAGGCACAGCTCACACCCAGGAAAAGTCTTGGTAACACTATCTAAGAAGCCAGGACTCCAAAGAATGTGCTCTGGAGATTCTCCCAGCATTCCCTCAACATAGGGAGAAGAGAAACAAATTTTCCTTTCTCTTATGGTTCTGTTTTTCATTTAAGCAGCACAGTGAAGGTCATGAGATGCCTGAGCAGGCCTGTATTGCAGCCACCTAGGCACCATGGTGAAGGTTATGAGATAATCCCTTGCAAGACACTGGAGCAAGCCTAGATAACAGCCATCTGGGCCGCACAGCAAGAGTCATATATAAGCCTGAGTTGTGAACCTGTCATAGTATGATTAACTGCTTTTTTTCTGTTTCTGTATCCTTGCTTTCACACCACTATGCTTTGTGCCACTGTAGGCTTGTTTCAAGTTAGCCCACCCCCTTCAGAAGTGCGTATAAAAGTTAAATTTGTGTTTGTCCTAGGCCTAGTCTCTGGATGTTAATCCACTGGGTCTGAGTGCACTCAATAAAATCCTCCTTTTCCACCTATCAGTCTCTCCAGTCTCCTAATTCATGCAACACAATGATCTAAGTGTCTGCGGAGTGTTGTAGTCTCCTGCCATTGTGTCAGAATCAACATCTCTTTATAGGTCTTCTAAGAACTTGCTGTATTCATGTGCACCCATGAATTTTTTTTTTTTTTAAAGACAGTTTCATTTTGTTGCCCAGGCTGGAGTGCAGTGGCATGGTCTTGGCTCACTGCAATCTCCTGGGTTCAAGCAAATCTCATGCCTCAGCCTCCTGAGTAACTGGGATTACAGGCATCTGCCACCGTGCTTGGCTGGTTTTTGTTTATATTTTAGTAGAAATGGAGTTTCACCATCTTGGCCAGGCTGGTCTCAAACTTCTGAGCTCAGGCAAATCCACTGCCTCAGCCTCCCAAAGTGCTAGGATTACAGGAGTGAGCCACTGCACCCGGCCAACACCCATGCTTTGCCAAGTGGTTATCAACTGAGGTTTCTAATTAGGACTCCATGGCCAATTTGCAAAGATCTGTTTACTCGTGCCCTTTCAAGCAGTAGTTAACACAGTGAAACCCTGTCTACTACTATTACTTTCAAGTAGAAGCATCCATGTTGTTTTAATTTAGCGCCTCATGTGATTCTAAGATGAGGCCAGAATCAAGTGTGAAAGCTTCTAAACACATCCATGAGAGTTAAGTTTCACCTTTGCACTAAAGGGTGGTTACAGGGCCTATTCTGTTTGGGTTTGGTAGGGGAAGGGCAGTGCGGTCCATATTACCAATATTGCAGCAGAAACTGCTGTTGTCTGTGGCAGGGGAGGGCACCTGAGGACGGAAAGAAGAAATGCATCTCCATGGAGCTGTGCATTGTTTCTAAATCTCCTCTGTTATAAAGAACAGAAATGAGTGGACTTTTTTTTGCAAGTCTTGGTTCTTCTGCCTGTGGGTGTGGTGGTAGCCAGGTAAACAGGTGCTGCTGACATTTTAAAAGGCATATTCTCAAGATGCAGGTGTAATTTATTTGGAGAATCTAATCTGAGTAGGAATTTCAGAGAAATTGGAGAAAGAAGAATAAATGGCGATTTTTCAGCTAATGATGTCCCAGATCAAGAGTTGTGTCCACTCTACCTCCTGGACTGTCATGCGTTTAGTACTTGCAAGCCTTTACTTCTCTACTTGTATTTTTCCTCCCTAATGAGTTTACTTTAAAAAATTTTTATGGTAGTCAAGGGTCTCTGAAAAATATTTCCTTCCTACGTACCAGATCTTTCTGTACATTCTCTACATCATAGCTTTTTATATGCCATGCAGAGTTCTCACCAAGATTATAAATTAATCTGCAATATTAAAAATGTTCCCTTGTGGCTGTGAAACATGAGGTGTGGATACTCAAGGTTTCAATTGGGGAAAGGTGGGTTCCTCAGTAGAGATGGAGAACATGTAATGTTGAGGTTCCATCTGTGTTCTCCATTGGCTTTACGCAGAACAGGATTTTGAAAATGCTTATTTAAACAGGATGGCATTTATTACCCAGAAAATTCCAAATATATATAGACATATATATATTAGGAGGTACTTGTTCTCTAGAGTGCTAAAAAAAGACAACTTTAAATCACTATTAAAATTACAGAACACTTGGCCGGGCGTGGTGGCTCACACCTGTAATCTTAACACTCTGGGAGGCCGAGGTGGTTGGATAACTTGAGATCAGGAGTTCGAAACCAGTCTGACCAACATGGTGAAACCCCATCTCTACTAAAAATAAAAAAATTAGCCAGGCGTGGTGGCAGGCGCCTGTAATCCTAGCTACTGTGGAGGCTGAGGCAGGAGAATCACTTGAACCCAGGAGGTGGAGGTTGCAGTGAGCCAAGATCATGCCATTACACTCCAGCCTGAGGAACAGAGCAAGACTCCGTATCAAAAAAGAAAAGAAATTACAGAACCCATGAGTTATCGGTATCTTAAACTTTGAATAAAACGGATGTTTCGGCCGGGTGCGGTGGCTCCAGCCTGTAATCCCAGCACTTTGGGAGGCTGAGACGGGCGGATCACGAGGTCAGGAGATCGAGACCATCCTGGCTAACACGGTGAAACCCCGTCTCTACTAAAAATACAAAAAACTAGCCGGGCGTGGTGGCGGGCGACTGTAGTCCCAGCTACTCGGGAGGCTGAGGCAGGAGAATGGCATAAACCTGGGAGGCGGAGCTTGCAGTGAGCCGAGATCGTGCCACTGCACTCCAGCCTGGGCGACAGAGCGAGACTCCGTCTCAAAAAAAAACAAAAACAAAAAAACAAAAAAAAGGATGTTTCTTTATGGTTAAATTCAGACTATAATTTGCTTTTAGGTAGCAATATCACATCAGTGAGGCTGTGTCTTTCTGTGTGTACCAGTGCATCATAAAAATTTGTCCTCGTGTAGTTGATGTTAATGATTCACTTGGTTAAAGAACTCTCTGACAGACTGTTTTACTATGGAGTTGATTATTTTTTCTTTATTATTAACTGTCTTTATGCAGTGGATGCCATCACATTTAATTTGGCAGCTGCCCTTCTTCCTTAGGTTTTCTTTGCATATATCTGTCTTTGGAAAATGAAAGCTCTCATCTTTGTTTACAATGCAAAAAAACTGGGAAAAACAGGTTCCTTCATTTACTGGATGTTTGACAAAATATTCTTTTTGGACCAAAAACATTGGCATTACTGGTGAGCTTGTTAGAAAAACAGCAACTCAGACTTTATTCCAGATTTTCTGAAAAAATAATCTGTATTAACAAAATCTTCAGTTCATTGAATACATTAAAATGTGAGAGATAAATTCTAACTCAACATGTCTTTTTGATCTGAAAAATATACACAACTCATTCTGTAAGATGTAAACATAGCACTCAAAAATGTATATGTTTGTGTTCATGCCCTTAATTTACTCTATCATTTAGAAAAATGTCATGTGTACACTGATGTTGTGGATCTTATGACACTATTTTCTCAAAGTTAGAGAATATATTAGAGAATATTTCTGTTTGTAAATTAATTTATTGAATAATTTCAGTCAGTCGTGTAAGTGAGAAGCAGTTCTCTTTTCTCTCTCATTTCACCTTGAATTAAATAAAAAAGTCTACCCATGGGCACTTGGTAAATATGTTTCTCTCTCTCTCTTTCTCTCTCCCTGTGTGTGTGTGTGTGTGTTTCAGGGACCATTGACATTTACAGATGTGGCCATAGAATTCTCTCTAGAGGAGTGGCAGGGCCTGGACACAGCACAACAGAACTTATATAGAAATGTGATGTTAGAGAACTACAGAAACCTGGTCTTCCTGGGTGAGAATAACTTCAATACACCATTCCTAATATACCCTAAATGTTTCATTTCTCCTCTTTGTAGAATGTTTTTTGGTAATTTATGCTTTGCATAAATGAGTTTCAGATTCCTGTTTTTAAGAAAAGTTTGGGGATTTGTTTTTGTAGAAAAGAATTTCTTCAAGATGTTTTATCTTCACCTGAACTTTCCATATTCCTGAGCTGATTTGTATTATGTACTCTTGATTAGTGATAATTTCAGGAATTTAGTGGCCTAAAATATCGTTGCCTACATCTTAAAATCTAATTGTCACAATCGATTTTTTATTAAGTAGTACTGGTCAATGAAATTAAGAACCTACAAATTTAAAATATTTTCTAAAGATTTAGAAATTTCTCTTATAAATTGGTATTTGGGGATTAATTTACTAGAATATTGTACTACATCCTCTTTACTGAGCACATTACTAAATTGGTAATTACAGAATATAAGCAAGATT